GAGGTTACTTCTTTTGAATGTTCTTCATCAACTTCAGTTCCATATCTCTCTGTATGTTCTTTTGAATCTCTGTAATTATCAAGGTCCCCATTTATGCCTTCCACACACAAGTTTACTTTCTAGAAGAAAGCATAAAAGATTTGAAAAGAAAACCGAAATGAGGAACACAGAGAGCTAGACTGAAACTCTTGCAGATGTTTCCTGTCTGTCTGAATTAAGTATCGTGGTTACTACGAGGTTACAAATCATTCTCTTACCTGATAAACAGCATATGGTCGGAAGCAATAAGCAAACAAAAAAATATTCAATAACAGATAAAAGAGATTGATGAGTGTTCCAACAAGAAAGATACAAAGAGAGAGCTTCTCTAGAACCATTAGAGCTATATACATTACTTATGTTTCACATTTCCGAAACTAAGACCAACAAATCTGTGCAGAGTATGAATTAAGAAAACACAGACCGGGTTTGTATAAGAAAAAGGGCAAAAGAATTCAATTTGAGGGTTTCGAAAAAAGGAAGAAAGAATCAAACTTGGTGTTTAAGTGAAGAGTATAACCTCTTTTTTCAGTGTTGTTCATCAGTACTTACCACTTTAATCTCCATAAGCTGACCGATAGGTTCCCGACAAATGGGACATTTGTTTGACTGAAACCTCAGCTCTTTTGCGCAGTCGCTGCACAAGCACTGCAAGAGACAACACAACATGATTTAGTCTTGAGAACAATTCAACCAAAAATTTATGTTCTTGGGAAAGATTTGGTATAGGCTTTTAGAGACAATTAGTGACAGAATTTGCTGTTTATATTTGAAACTCTACAAAAGATTTATAAGTTTAAGACTAAATGAAAACTTGTGTTTAGAACAAATCAAAGAGAATTGCGAGAAGATTTTACCAAATGTCTACAAGGCATGACGGCTGTGTCCTTAGGTTCAGTCAAGCAAATAACACATTCCTTGCCACCGCTGTCCTCTAAGCCCGACACAGGATTACCTTGTGTGGTCGAGTTTTCGATTCCATACAGCTCATGTACTTCATATCGATTTCCTTCAATCCATAAGATCTGCTTCATGACTTTCACTTTGAAAGATCCATCGTTAGTCTTCTCCAAACCCGCTAGTGTGACTTGCTTATGAACTAATGGATCCTCTGAGACCGAGCTTGGTAAGATCACTGTCTCGGCTGATATAACAAGTGGGTACACCTCTTCTGGTGAAGGCTTCGATAGATCATCCAGCGCAAAGAAGCCCAAGTCGGTTCCTGTCCCTGAAGGTTGTAGAAACTTCTGCGCAGTACCTTTTTGGAAAGGGACTTTGGTTGGTGGGTAAGCTTCTGGTAAATTCGGGACCATTGTGCAGTTTGGTTCCTCCTTTGCGAAAAAGATGATGGAGAAACTGAATAGAAGACAAGGGCATAATGAAAAAATCTTTACAGATAGTATTAGGATTTTGGTTGCAGGGTCTCAATGTTCTTGATCAGAAAAGTGGAGCTTGGGGTTTAATGAAAGCTTTAGGCTCGCTATGTGACACACAAAGAGTAATAAGTTCATTACAGTAACAATTGTTTAACTCCGTGTTCGATGCAAACAATTTCTTGACAACGGCAACTGCAAATCTCGATATGTATTTTAAGAAGAACAAATCTACAATGTAATATGTGAAGGAACTGTGTTTCATCACTCCTATAGAGAGATTCATTAAATGAACTAATGTCCCATATGCAAAAAGCTTGTTTGGTTTCTTAACCGATACTATGAAGCAATGATCATGTAAATTTCTAACCTTTTAAATCCAAAATTATGGTTCCAGTGTAATTTACAAGTTCCCCACCTACCCTAATTAGCCAAATCTCTTCCCAAATTCGGTTCTAACACTCAGAAAATGCACTCAATTTCGATTGATCAAACCTAAAATTGGAACAAAATCCCCAAAATTTCAGGAAGCAAAACAAAACAAAGGGTTTTGTGGGGTGAATACCTGCCATCGAATACAGCATCGAAGAGGAAGGAAACAAGATGATGATCAGGGTTAAGATCGTCTACTTCGAGCCTCACCGTATCTTTATGCACATTGACATCATTCCTCACCTTCTTCGCGTTCTGATGATCGACGTACACCGGAGGCGTTTGTTGAACCGGAGGCGGACCGAAGATAACCGGTCTCATCATCGGATTCCACGAATTGTGATGATAACCGGAGAAATACGGAAGAGATTGTTGTGGGTAATAATGGTTTTGATGACCGCCGTACTGTCCGTAATTAATCTGC